GTTAATACAAAACTGAATTAGTATATTGTAAAATTATAATATGTCTTTAGAGTGTATTGACTAATTTTTTAAAAGTTTGCAAGTTATAAAATGTTTGTCCGGGATTAGCCGGTACTCTATCCGGGGCAGCATAGCGGGCTTTCATTCCGATTGGCTGATCATTCCGTGATTTTACAAGATATGATTGGCCAATAGAAAACAAGTTCAAAAAATTTAACGAAAGACACAATCAAATTATAAATTTTAACAAATAATGATAATATTTAATGCTTGGATCCCAATAATTACATACATAGATAATCTTTATTGACTAAATTAAATCGGGTACATAGTTTAATAATTTACCAAATAATAATAATTAACTATGTAATAGGTAGAATATACGCTTATAGAGGATATATAAACAGTATAAAAAAACCAAACTAACTACAAAAACATAGCGTATAATCGTACATGCTCTATACCTATTCTATATTTAATATAACGTTTAAAAACGATCGAATACCTATACTCAGAAAAGTTTTATAATAAAAAAAAAAACTATTAGTAAATGCGGTTTAATTCATTATTTGTAAATTAATATAAAAAAAAAGTAACTTCTGAATTACTTCTCTGTTCTCAAATGTTACTATTCTATTTTTTATTCTATTTTATTGGCAGTACGTGTCTGTCTTTAGAATAATAAGTTATTAATAAATAGATTAGTGCTGTAAACCTTTTGAAATTGCTGCCATTTTACCAAGTTTAATAACTGTAAGCTATATTGGCTAAATTGAAACATCTAGACATACCTCTCATCTAACTTCCGAATTACTTCGTTAATTACCAAATTACTTTGGTATGTTGTAGAGCTGAAGTTGTAGTTTCTAAATTTCTATACTGCGGTTTTGTGCTCGTGGCTGCGGTTCCGTTTTTGTGACTGAGAAACATTACGCTAATATGTAAAACATATTGTGAAACATTCCGGGCGATCATCCAATCAAATTTAAAGCCCGCTATGCTATCCGGAGTGTGATCGACATTTTTTCCGGGGTATCTTAACAACCAATCAAAACGAACTTCTGCTATGCTACCCTGGTCACTATGTCAAGATCGCAAGGCATAAATCAGTTATACCCTGGGCACAATGTGTATAAGCGGGAATTTCATCCCCGATTATACCCAACTGCCCAGGATATAACTATTACATATCTGCAACAGTAGATCTCTCTAAGTGCACCCTCTATAAATGCACACCCTCTCTAAATGCACACTTAAGCGCTGAAGTGAAACTTCCATAAATGCACGCACTTTGACTGAACTTCAACAACGTAAGAAAAAGTCATTATAGAGATGACGCATATATTTGGGCCAGAGATTGAGCACATTTAGAGAGTGTGTGCATTTATAGAGGGTGCACTTATAAGGTTTCACTGTATATACTTAGCCTCTATAAATACACATTTACTTATTATTCTCTAAATGCATACTATTGATGTGTGGTCCCAAGGGCGTGAACTTAGAGAGGTCTAATTGTAAAACAATTTCAATTACTCGCATTGCTTTCTAATTATTTATTTTATTAAACTGAATCAAATAAATTAAATTAACAACTTTATACTAATAATATATAGTATTAGCTTCTATATGAATTTTATTGAATACATCAAACTTTGGCGACAAAGTCGCCTTATGTGTAAGTTCTAGCTATATAATAATTTTAAAAATAATTACGGATAAATGCCTGCAGTAGCAGAAGGATCACCGTTGACTACCATATCAGCACCACCAGATCCAGGAGTTTGCCTTTTAAATCCATGATATGGACCATTGCAATGAGCGAATAAAATCACAATTAAGGTTAAGGTTACTAAGTTTCGCACTGAAAGGTTTAGTTCCATTATTACAATATTCAACATTCAAATCTTGAGTGATATTTCTAATAATGTTTCCACATTTATCAGTAATGAAAAATTCATATGGAGGATTTAAGAGTCCAGTCGCGAAAATACCACTCACTTGAGTATCACCACATTCTTCTTGAGTGAAAGTCACAAAGCCACGAATTTCATTATCAAACATTGCTTTGGCTTCAGTGCATGGACATTTAGAATAGGCATCATTGTGATTTTTTTCAAGTGATCTCTTTGCATTTTGAAGTCGATAACCTGAAACAATTATAATAAGTAGAAGTAGGATAAAATTACAGAATAAAAATCAGGTATTCATTTTATCGCTCTTTTCAATTTACTGTGATCATCAAATTTCGTAGAATCTGGAAATCTGGAAATCGGCAATTTGATAATCATATTTTAATCTTTGAGCGAAGATATCTCAACACCCACCAGGCAAAATTTAACGAATTTTTTTTTATTTGCGTTCTACGGATTCGTGGAATTTAAATAAAAAAAGTTCATTAAATTTGACCTTGTGGTTGTCAAGAAACCTTCGCTCAAAGTTAAAAAAAAATTCAACGGAATTTTTCTCGAACTTTTAGCGAATATATCTTGACAACCATCATACTGAGATTTTGTTTTTTTGATACTTTCGATATTACAGTGCAGTAATATTTCTACCGTGTTACATTATAATCCCTTACAAGATCGCAGCTCCCTCATAACAGCGCTATTGTTTGAAATTCTATTCAGAGAAAGCGTTGGAACAAGTTATGAAGGTTAATTTACGAAATCCCAGCGCCTGGATTAATTATGGAGCTGAAGTAAGTGCTACATAAAATACATAGATAATAGCAAGCAATATCTGATACTTCCCTCATTTTCTTGTTGAATATACAAGGCTGTTTAAATCGATTCTTCATTTATAATTACCCTGACATATTCCTGATATTTAAGATTTTTCAATACACTACAAGTTTATTTTTATGCTTATTTAATTTTTAATTTCAAATATTATAAAAAAATTTAAAATTGAAACTCTTACATTAATAATCAGTCTCCCACCTCTCTTTTTAATATGTTTTAATATCTTATAATATTATTATAGCGTGCAATGCTAAGCTTAATATTTTTGATATTTTCACAGCATTAGGTCTAGAGATGGGTTTCATGCGTGCGCATGATTCCTCAATCGTGCGCATTAATGCGCATTCATGCGCATGATTCGGGATCATGCACATTTTATCCCATCTAAATTTTATATAAGAAAATTAAAGTATATTTAATTTAGGCCAAGGTGTATAATGCCAGGCAA